GGACTCATTGACTCAATGGATTTTCACAAGAAACACGGATTAAATCTGATTAATCATATGTGGTTATCAATGTTTATCATGTAATCATTGTTCTAGTTCCCTACTTCTGTCAATCACTCGAAAATCCTTTTCACCAAGCAGCACATAGGTCATTCTCATCGCTCACGCTGCAACTTTGATGAGTCAGCAGGGCTCGTCGGCACACGCGCTGGAGGCACCTGGAGAGCAGGATGGAGTAGGCTGAGCCAATGAAAATCATCAAACAATCGAAATCCATCAAGGTTCCTTGACCTATATAAATACAAGTACCCCATCAGCCAAGCGCAAAACCAGGAGATCTACCGGAATTGTTGGGCCGTCAGATTTCCACTCAGGCCAGGTGAATTTCTACCAGTACCAAGCGCACCAAGTCAATATAATTATGGGGAATGGGGGTGCCTACAAATGGATGGAGCCGAATATTATGCATCTATATACTACACACATCCTTCACAGTAGGAACAGCTAGAAAACTCCATCGACACACGGCTGGCATCGGAGCTCTTCTCACCAAGGGTGTCTTCCGACCCCCCCCTGCCCAGCTCCTGCTGAAGGGACCATCGCAGTCTTGATCATAGTAACATTCAGCTCCTGTACAGAGTCTGGGTGAAATCAATTTGCAGTCCACATATCACATATCTGACTCAATCGATGAAGGCAGGCACCCTGCAAGGGCGTGCATCCCAGTCAGATCGGTCAGTATCAGTATTACATAGTATTACGTCTTTCAGAATTAATTTAAACATTTGCCTCGTCCAAGCGGCAAAAACCGGGTCGGAAGCTAAGGTTAAGGGAACTGGCTCAACATGACATGTTCAAAGCCTAAGTGACATCTCTAGTCTAAGCACGTGAGCCCTGGAAGGGTTTTTCACTTATGATTGATGCCTTTTGGGGGCTGGCAAGAAGCCCTCCTGACAGCCAAAGCATTCAAGTTCAAACGTCCCTCTCCTGGTGGTCGCTTTGCTGCAGCAAGTGTCTCGCATCGGCTTTCGCCTGGGAAAACATCTTGAAGAAACATCAGCGGTGCGGAGAGTGATTTGACGGAACTATCCCCCTTCAAATTGCTATGGAGCGTGAAAATGGACCCCCCTGCAAGGCTATTCTCATCTACCACCTACGGTCTTCAGGGTCCACGTTAATCTGCAGGAGCATTGTTGACATCTCATGATATCAAAAATGTGTTGAATCATGTAGAAAACCATCGATTTTTTCAGTGCAGGAGCCAGGTTCCTTGAACAGTGTGACTGGCCATGACTTCCAAGGTTTGCTCCATCCTCCCAAACATTGGGCGATTGTGGCTGCTCGTTGGTGATCGCCCTCGCCGATTTCACGTTCGCGGTTCAACACAGCACTCCGCTGGGTCTCTGGCATGGTGGTTCTGCCTGGCAAAGCCTTGAGTCAAGAGTCTGACTGGCCGTCTGAAAAGTCTCGGGGTCAGAAATTCAGGACCTCACATGACCTCACAAGTCTGGCAATTGCAGGAAATGGGAAAATGCACAGCAAGCAGCTCGGGAATGACCAATGGGTATGAAATCTTGGGAAAAATGGGAAAGTACATGAACTTGGGCTTCACATCGCCCAAGTACAGTAAAATGCAGTCTTGAAGAGCCCAGGCGGTTAGTTTGTCAAAAGGATGTGTAATCCATATGGTCCATATGGCTTTAAAAAAATACATTGCAGGTCCAGGTTCCATGTTGATCCAGGAGGAGTGGTTGGAAGATCCATCACACCGAAAGTATTACGTGAAGATCTTTATGGCATCTTCTTGAGGTGTGCTGGCTAGGAGTTTGGATCAGTTTGAGGTGTGTTGGCTGCCCTACCCTGAAAAAAGGGTTCGGATTTAATTTATAGATATATATATATATATTATATAGGTGTTTTTGGGTTTTTTCGTGGCAAGCGCAGTACTTTGTGGACCTTGAAGTGCAGATTTCGGGGTACCTTGGGACGCAGCGCCTCCCCCCGCAATGAAAACAAAAGACGGAAAGGATTCCAATAAGATAATATCTCATGGCCCGTCTGTGAGTTGCAATCGTCTGGATAAAAACAATACCCTCTGCCTCGGACTTCACATTCCTCCGAAGATGGACTAGTAGCAAACAGTATATCATATCAATATATTATCTTCATAATAGCCATGAAAGCTACGAAAGCCACACGCCAGGTTGGGTTACCCCCTTGTAAAGCAATTCAATGCCCAAAATGTACCAGGAATGCTGCACCAGCTGAGCTGGAAAAAATGGGCCTCAAACCCAATCGTTGGCCAGGGGCTGAGAAGGCTTTCACATGGTGCATGCATTGAGTTTTTTCTGAACAGCCAGCACCTTCCATTGCCCACGCCACCGTCCCCCAAAAACATTGTAAAAGGATGGTTGTGGGGACTATGTGTTCATCAACCACATCGTTGAACATTTTGCTGACTAAACATTGTTTGTTGAGCCTTTGTCGTTATGTGCAAGGTGGTTCTGGGAAACAAATTGGTGCTAAACATATCTAAAAATCACTCTGTTCGGTGATAATGGATAAGGTTAAAATTTGTTTAGGCTTGTTGTGTTTTTATGGGGCTCAAATTATTCTAGCATATTTTTGTTTTGCTTTTTTAATGTTCTTCGTTTTTCGTGGCAGGTGCAGTACGTTGTGGGCCTTGAAGTGCAAATTGTGTGGCAGGTGCGCAATACTTTGTGGACCTTGAAGTGTAGATTTCGTGGTACGTGCGCAGTACTTTGTTGACCTTGAAGTGCAGATTTCGTGGCAGGCGCAGTACTTTGTTGACCTTGAAGTGCAAATTTTGTGGCAGGTGCGCAGTAATTTGTGGGCCTTGAAGTGCAAGTTTTGTGGTAGGTGCAGTACTTTATGGGCCTTGAAGTGCAAATTTTGTAACAGGCGCAGTACTTTGTGGACCTTGAAAGCCAAAAGCCACAGAAGCCAGAAGTCACGAAAGCCAAAAGCCAACAGAAGTTAGAAGCAACGAAAAACAATAAACTGTTAAACTCCTTTAACAAAAAGAAAACTATTTTAAATGGCCCTCCCGGAGGAGTGTTTGTGCGGGTGTGGCTCAACAGCCATCCTAGCACTGGGGCCGCCTCGTAGTATGACTATGTTCGGATCAATTGAGCTCGACCCCGCCGGCCCCATGGCCCAGAAACGAGCAAAAGGCCGCATGTTCAGGGCAAAGGCTGAAGGATTGAGCGATCCGCATCTCAGGTGTCACCGTCTTCCTCAGCGTCACCGGTGACTATAAACACTGGTAGCTCCTTTACTTTGCCAAGTCTGACTTCTGATTTGATGCAGCAATTTGCAAATAAATCTCTTCAATAATCGCAACCTTATTAACTTATATAGTCATAATAGTCATAGAGGATTTCTGTGCTTAAAATCTTTCTGAGGTAGGATGCCGCAGCCCAGCCCGAGTCTCTTGTAGCAAATCGGTGGGTCCTGTGTGGTATCTGCTGGGAGGCAGCTCCTCAGCTCGCAAGAGCTGGTCTCCTGGATTCTCCGTCGCAGTCATCGGATCCAAGGATCGGGGAATGACCGTGATGTCAACGGGACATTTCTTGAATCTTAATCAATTTCATCCTCACTTAGCACATCTCATCCACATCCAAGCTATTTACATTCTACATATGGAAAGGCAAATGGATCGGGTCGAACCAGTCAATGCGCAAATAGGCATCGACATGCAGCACTCATTGAAGGCCAAGGACCCCTTATATGTGGGCGTTAGACGTCGCTCGGCTTGCAACAAAAACACAACACAACACCACACAAACAAACACAAAAACAAAGAACACGCAATCAAGCAAACCAAGCAAAACAAACAACACCACACTCCCGTCACCTGGAATTCATAGAATTGTCACTGCCAATAAATCTGCTAAACCCAAAGAAAAATAAGAAACCGCCGGCGGCTGTGACAATAAAGATAGCGGTCCTCCCCGAGCGCGACCCATCTGCAGTTCCACCACAGCAAGATCCAGCGAGGGTCCGGCATCGCCGTCGCATCGTGTCGCGCAGGTCCGGCCGTACAAAGAGCTACACACCGAACGACGACTGATGAGTGAAAAGGAGGAAATCGGAGAATGGTCACTGGGATCCACCAAGTCCAAACATGTTGAAACGACTCAAGCTAGATCTCCATAGGTTGCTTGTGGTTGCTTGAGCTGAGCGTTTAGATCATGTCGGATTCTAGTTGTTGAAGACTTGAAGCCTCAAAAACTGGAGGCGAGTCCAAATGGTGGTCATATCGAGCCTAACAATTGATCTGCAACTGTATTCTGAGTCAGTACGTGTTCTATCATTCACAACAACCATCAACATCCATCAACAACCTGTGGGCAAATGCGATGCGGCGGATGCAACATCTGCGATGACTCAGGATGACTGACTCTCACTTGATGCAAAAGCGGCTGGCTGCAAAGGCCTGGCCTGAGAAGGCTGCTAGCACTATGAAGTAATTAAAAAATAGGGCAAATCATCCTTGCAACAACCGTCCTGGCAAAACGCAATGGGTAACTACGGTCCCTATGTCCAAACTATACCCCCATATATGGCCGACTAGAACTATTGAAGTAACAAATGATCATGACGTGAACTGCATCTTCCAAAGAGTTGCAGGCTCCCAACACCACGTGCTTCTCTCAGAATTGGGGCCTGCAGCTATATAGCTGTCGCCCTAAATCCGAACGAAACGTGGAGAGCTGGGTCGACTCACATGGACCCCGGGTTGCATGGCCCCCTTGGTAGTCCATGGTAGTCCTCACCAACCAGTGGGTTGTGGTTGGTCCCCCAGGTCCACCGTTTTGGTCCAACCAGCCGAGACGCACCAAAGGCACCAAACGCACCAAACGCACCACCACCCACCACCACCACCACCACCACCACCACCAGCAGCAGCAGCAGCAGCAGCACCAGCACCAGCACCAGCACCAGCACCAGCACCACCACTGCTGGGCATCCCCAACGCTCTTGCAATCTGCGGGTCCCTTCGCGACGCATCTGGTAGAGCCTCCCACCATGAGTGAGCCAATCGTGGATTGAAATGGATAGGACTAATCTAATGATTACATATAAAACAAATGTATTTTCTAACATTAATAGAAAAACATAGAAAAATTATTCAACTATAAGGCTTGTGGAGTAAATGTGATCCTCGGCGTACGATGTGGCAAAGGCTAGTTGGTGGCAAATCATTCTTTCTTCTACCGGACATGACTACCGCTTGGCCTTGGAAAAGGAGTGAACAGCAACGGAATGCTGCCCCCCAAAAGTCACTTTATGTTGTATCATCTTGGAACTGCCTCCTCATTAAACATTGTAACGTTGCTCTGGAGAGCCTCATTCACCTCAGAATGCCCCTCATGTCTTTTGCATCCTGATGGCAAATGCACTGGCATCAACACAACCCACGGCGTCTACTCACCATTTTCTCCGACCACATGCGGCGTCACATGCGTCCTGAACCCGGTCCTGGACTCTCCGCATTAGCAGTTCCATCTGGTGCCAACGCCCACGGTGCGAGAGAATCCCCATGCTTGCCGGTTTCGAGTTGGCCAGGTAAGTGCATTGCCAAAAGCTGCCAAACGCTGGTTGATTTACGGGAAGCCACGGCAAATCCGCGTCAATGGCTGCAGCCAGGGGAGATCGCAAAGTGCTCGAACTCAAAGTTCCACTAGTCTGTCTTTTGCAAGGTCCTCACACCCAAAACTTTGATGCACACTGCACACCAAAACCTACTTTACTGTATACATCTGTATACTGTAATAATAACTCATCTCCACTCCCTTGAAAGGAATCACGTCAGCTCAAAAGTCCATCAATACGCACAAGTCACACGAATGTCTTCGCCCACGTCCTGCTGCAAAACGGCCTCGACCAGTTCCAGGTCCTTCCAAGCCTCCAGTGGTGCCACCGCCGCTGCAAGCGCTCCAAAGCTGCCACCGCGCGCCGCCGCCCGCAGCGCGTACGCGACGCTGGGGCCCTGGAAGCCGCGCGAGGCCGCGCGCGTGCGGCCGTCAGTGTCCCGGAGTTCTACGGCTCCACGGGAAACCACCAAGGTACCGTTGCGGCCAGAAATCCTCAGGCATGTGGCACGTTGTCTGAGCGGGGCACAGGCCGGACACGGGTGCTGAGAATCGGTTTCACCGGGTTGGCATGTGATTCCCGCTGCTTGACAAGGCGCCTGAGCACACGCCTGAGGGGTCACATGGTTAACAACGTCTGCAAACATCTATTTATGACTATTGTTTTGGGCTTGTTTTCAGGCTCTGCTTTTGGTTTTGGTTGTATCAGGATGTGTTGCTGTGCCAATCATCTTGTTTCCGCCAATCGAGGAGGACGATGGGCTTTCTTGGTCAAGGCCAACCAAGAGACGTTCCAGTGCTTCAAACACCTGGTGGCAGCTGAAAATTCTCAGCCTATCATTGGTCGCCTGATCCTCCATCCCTGGGTGCCCGAAAGTCGTAGGCCCAAGTCTGTCAGATTAGGCTCTGCAAGTCTAGGTCAGAAAGGCCGGAGATGGTTCCTGAGTTGCTCGGGCGTGCAACTCGTGCAGTCCATGACGGCTAAGATGACGGCCACAGAAGGTTCTCCAAGGGTCACATGACACACCTAGTCTAGCTCCATATTGTTCTCTCTTTCCTGCACCCTGGATGAATGTCCCTCATTCTAAGCTTCATGATCTATACAATATTATATAATCTTCCTTTTGATCTGTGTACTGTGTACATCACTACAGTCATCGGCTGGAGGGTGGCCTGGGGTTACATCAACCTTCAACCATACAAAAACTGGAACCTCTCATGAGGTCAATCCGAGACTTTCAAAAGCACGTCCTCTGCTGTGAACCAATCCCAACCCGCCAAGGCATGATGCCATTTTTGGGTAGGCCCAGCTTGCAACCAACCCCCCCCGGCCTTGGCCACTTGACCTTCGGACCCTCCTCTGAACCCAGCTGCGCGGCGTCGCTTTCGGCACGCTCAGCGAGAACAGCCACACGCCCAGCGCGAACGGCGCAGTTTGCGCGCGGAGGGTGGCGGCAAAGGTGTCGAAGGGCTGAAGCTCGGGACGAAGACCTGGAGAGGCTGCTTCAGGGGTCAATTGTTGACATACATCATCGATCGAACCCGAGTGATCTCGAGTTTGGATCACCAACCGCCCAACATATAGTCCAGTCCTATCAAAAGGGCTCAAATGGTTTCTATTTCTAGGATATTCCGATATTCCAGTGCCATGGAGTGTTTAGGATGTATTTCAAGATTGAGCTAAATTGGTCTAAATCGATCTTTCTTGAACCCCAAAAGCTAAATAAAACCCTTCTCGACATCCGTTGTTGATCCTTCTTGGGTCTGGCTGCGGGTTCTTAGTTGCCCAAGCACAGGGCTGCTAAACACAAAGCAGCCAAAAACCTTAAAACCAGCAAACAGGTCACGTTGAATCCACTGACGAACACTGATGGTCATGTGTATTGACATACCATTGGGGGGGCCGCCTCCCTCCATGGATTTCTGCAAGTCTACGGCACTTTGCCGCACCACATGGACCAGCTCCACCTCGCCGAGGACCAAGCGCAAGGCAGCAACAAAGTGAACTCCCACGTCCACGATCCAGTTTCCTAGGCCAAACATCAAGTTATACAGATCTTCTACGAAATTGGTGCTTCATGTGTGACAAGAACATTAGAGGGATGTGGTGCAATTGCCTGTACGGAGAGCAGTATGTAAAGGTATGTACATGTTGATGGTGCTAAGACATTGCGCCTTCACCGTTTTCTCCTGCTTGAATGGGATTCACACAGCCGGGGATTTTGAGACTCCCTGCACAGTTGCATAGCCAGCGATCCGCGGACAAACTGTCAACAGTCAACACGCCTCAATGTCCCAGCATGTCCGCTAAAGGTTTTTGTACCCCTTTGAAAGCCCCACCAACACCTGAAGCTGAACCTCCGAGGCACATCCCGCAATAGGATCCCCCCCACAAAAAACATCTACTTATATTATAATCCAATTCGTAGGGGAAACAGTACAGCCCAAATACATGGAACTTCAACGTCCCAGCCATCCCACCATCCGTTGATTTCTCGTGTCCATCAGCGGCCATGCGCCAGCCATCCGGGCGCATGAGGGGCACCTGCGCAACACGAGCATCAGTCGTTAGGCGTTGGCAAACCAAAGTGAAATATGGGTCAAATAGGGTCTAACTACTTCCTGTGAGTGTCGTATTGAAATTAGTGGGTTTGATGGCATTTCTGATCATGGATTCAAACATCTATATATATATATATGTATTCTACAGCAGGGTATTTAGTTAATCTAGTTCTCTCTTCTAGACAAACCCATTTACCCCAACATCCTCGCCCATGTTCACTATAAGTCACTTTACCTTCTACAAGGCAAAGGGCAAAAAAAAAACAATGAATCCCAATGATAGTGTGACTAGCTTGCATTGCATTGCTGTGGTTGCAACTCCGTGACCTGTGGGGCACAGCCATCTTCCCAAACATTGTAGTTTCAACCCAAAGCCCCTAAGATTGCCAATAATTGGACCACGGTTTCCGACATTCAGCCCAAACTGAGGGGAGTTATTTAAAATATGAAACGACTCAAAGGCTGGGTCAACTCAAGTAATGCAAACACATCTCTCTCTCTCTATAAATGTATTTATATGTATATATATATATGTGTGTGTGTTTCTTCTGTATGGGTAATATATTAAATATATAGTAAATATATATCGTTCTATATGTTGATTCATGTTGCTTCCAACCCCACGTTGAATGTCCACCGAGAGACACGCTCACACGTGCAAAAGCAACACTCAGCTTACCGCGGCCAGTGCTGTCAGGCGGCATCTTCTGGCATGAGACTCTGCGCGTTGGCCGAGAAGGACAAGACCTCACCCAGCGCGGGCAGCGCCGCCCGTGCTAAAAGGAAGGCTGGCTCGAACCTGCTGTGTCACAGCGGCGACTGAAGCAACAGGTGGCGGCAGACCATTAAATCCAAACCAAACCAGGGCCCTGATAGAAGGTCCGTGTATTGAATGAAATTGAATGGCATCATCCAATTATGTGGCTACCACAAAATGCTGTGAAAACAACTATTTTTTCTTCAGGGCCTGGATCGTGTTTGGAGGTGCATCCCAAGCAGGCAATCCAATCAGTATAACTGCTGATCCAATAGTGCAGCTCTTTCATAGCTCTGTAATTTAGTCTATAATGCTTTATACAAATGTGTATCCCATATTTGGTAGCGCAACCTCATTTAATGACCCAATCCCGTTTGTTGCTCTCTTGGGCCGGCAAATTGATTCCACGAGGTTTTCCAACGTTGCGCACAACACCTCAACCCCCTCCCAACCGCCGGGGCGCCTCCAATTCTCCGCTACCCACCACCCGCGCGAAGGCGCTGAACGCAGCAGTTCCTGCGCCTCTGAGGTGTTCCGCGCAATGGGCTTCTCCGACCTGGGTAGAAATCCAGTGAATGAGAGAAGCGTCACTTGTCAAGCTTGAGCACCCGACCCGAAACCTATATACACACTGATCACTGATCTACATAAATTTGGACATAGGCAACCCCCAAGAACCAAGGCCCTGTCCCCAAATGCGCACCAGGATCAATAAGAACTGAACTGGCACAACTCCTGGATAAAGCACACCGACTCATCTCATCAAACGCCAGCGTCTGGTTTTCACCCGCATCCCACCGCGCAACAGCCACACCCGGCCCAGCCACACCACTGCCAGGTTGGCGTCCAAAGCCTGGCGCACGAAACGCGCCTGGTCTTGGATGGGGAGCACCACATCCAACAACTCCACGGACCTGGTCGGACCGGGGCCCACCCGATGGTCGGACCTGGCGGTGCGTGAACATGGTGCAACATGTGTAGGATCAGTGACAAACCCAACGAACGGCTGAAATAGAACCGCCCAAAAGCAAAAATAGCAATTGTATTACACAAGAAGCATCATATCATATCTGCTGCAAGTTAGTATGCTGTTTGGAGTCATATGAGGTGCGGACCAAATTGTTTATTCATGCAATATGCCATATGCCAAAGTGGGTCGTCCCCTATCGGTTGTGAAGAATTAGGCGTTTGAAATGTGACGTCATGAGGGTGTCATTGGTGAAGCATCGGTTGTGAAGGGCTTGCCGGGCTTGCCATGTTGCGTTTTGATTGCTGCGCGGTTGTGTTTCCAGTTCGGGGCTTGAAGCTGCGAGTACCTTGTGAAAGGCTTGTAGAAGCAAACAGCAGAGTAGCATCTCCTTTTTTGACTTGGTGTTGCGTGACATTGAACTCGAGGAGCTGGATTCTGAGCTGGTGCTCTGACCGTGACCTGCTTTCACAATGCTTTGTTTTTTCTTGGCCAAAAGTTGTTGCTTGTGTTTACTCCTCAGTCTCCTCAGTTGTAGTCTGCTAATATTCTTGTTAATTTCCTCTTGGATGTCTGCATCTGGTGATTTGTACATGTTTGCAGAATCTTCTATAATTATATAATGGTATCGGTCAGTATCGGTTGAGCTGTCTGTGAGAGCTCCCTCATTCCACAGCGTAACCACCCAACTGTTGTTCATTAATGAAACCTCATCGGCGAACTCACTTGACGATGGCGTGGTAGCTCTTGCAACATATCCCACTAAGGTTCAGAACAACTCATATTGAAAAGCACCTTGGATTCCTATTCACAGCCATCGAGAAAACCAATAACAACAAAAACAATCTTGGTAGGTATAGGGGTATCGGTGCTGGGTCGTCCCCTATCGGTTGCCAAGGATTTCTTAACTTCGCTATAGGCACAAGGCGGCCTCTTACATATTTAGTATTCCAATAAATTTGTCGGTTTGCTTATATATCCCTTTGATTGAAAAAAGGTGCCTCTCAATCGAATCCCTCATTGGGTCAGGATATCTTCCAATTCCGTTGGTCCAAGTGAGCATGGGCAACTGAAAGGCCAAGCGTCAATCTGCCAGAAAGTAAGTCTGCCCAACCGTCCTGGTCAAGTATGGTGAGCCGCTCGAAGTGGCAACACCAACAGCACCCCTGCAATGAGCCCTGAGGAACACCTGAAACGCCACTACGAGAGGCTCAGACTAGCATTCTCCCAAAACAAACCTCCTTACAAAGAACGATAAACCTGAGAGGCATCTGCAAGAATGAAGACAAGAAGGGACCTTGTGCTCCTTACACCCTTGCAAGGTTCCAGGTTTAGGACACCTGCCCTGACGCAAGCTCGTATTACCCTCCTAAATCCTGCATCCATCTTCCCATCCGCCCCCTCCTCGCCCCAAAGAATCGCCAGACCCACTGCATCCGCCGCCGCTTCGGCGGACGCGCGGGTGCGGCTCCACAGAGCAACCACCTCGAAGCAGTCCGCGTGCTCGCGCAAGGAAGGCAGATGAGCCTGGCGGGATCTTGGTGTGGGAATAATATCACCTCACCTTTGAGCAAAAAAGAAAGTGTCCTGGATGCAATTCACCAGCCACTCAAATTCAAATTCAGTTCCCGGATTCCCCTCCGGCCTTCAAATGGCTTGGATCTTAGAACACCCAAGTCATTGATGCTTGCCATTTGTTCATGGCGAAGCCCATTCCTCTCCAGGGAGGCCCGTTGGCCCTCCCGGTTCCGCCTTTCGAGCAAAGGCGCCAGCCCCGACCAAAGCCACGCGCAAAGGTCGGCTGCAGGGTGCCAAATGATCAGATTCAATCTGCCTTAGCGGATTCATCGGGCTGGATATATCCGAATTTTGAAGCATCGGATGCCTAAACCTACAGGCTGGCCGAAATACACCTGCAAAGTTGCTGCATACTCCCATGCGTTGCTACCTGACAGAACCTCCACCAAAAGATACTCTCTAGATGGAGCATCACCAAATGGGAAAGGCACTCTAAGTATTACAAGGAATGCCTTGTCCCTGCGATGTTGCCAGGGCACCTTGACAAGCAGTCGAAATCGTCTGTAGCGCAGGTGGCAGCAGCACAAACCAACTTGAAACATACCCATAGCCAAAACATGCGCGAATGAGCCGACTCCCGGCAGGGTGTCGCCAACGTGGAAGCCCTCAAAAGGCCGACTTGAAAATAGTTGGCATGTGTACAGGAAGATATAGATAAATTACCCTCGGTGCTGGTTAATGCTGCTTGATTTCCGTATATAATTGTACGACTACAACATACTACAACATACTATAATACTATAAGCATCTGTTACAGTATAAGCTATGGCTACGATGCCATGCAATGATATGCTATGCCTCTTCAAAGTTTGAGGTGCATTGACTATATAACACTGGCTCTTGAGCTCTGGAAGGTTTTTCCGCCGTGCGTGCTGCACACCTGCACACCCAAATGTTCAAACGAACTCTGCATGCTCCCTGCATGATGTTATCACCGCTGATCCTTCACGTTTACTGAGCAACACACCAACCCAGTGGAGAAAGATGGAGAAAACATATGGCAAAACCTCCTGGTCAGCAGGGTCGAAAGTTTAGGACATCCAACAAAACATCTTGGCGTTGCTGGCAAGTCTGTGTCCCGATTCCGGGCGCAGCACAAAGCTATGCAAAGCTCCTCTTGTTTGTTCCGGTTGAATTGGAATGCACCTTTTGCAAAAACGAGGGGGGAGGAGGAGGGAGATGCCATTGTGTTCCAAACCACATGAACCATGGCTGTAGCGAGCCTGTGGATCCGGATCGGGACAAGGACCACTCTTTGGGTGCATGGTGGGGTGTGTGAGTCCCAGTCAACCCTTCCCTAAGCTGTGTTTATCCCACAAAATATCCAATCCTCTGCCTCGCATTGCCGCGCCACACCCAACAACTGGCCGCCTTTCTTCTCCTTCAGATCTTGTTCGACCAGTCTCTCCCTTGGCCTGTCCGGCTAAGCCGAAGCCCAAAACGGTCGGTCGATGGCCGGCGCCGGCGCTATGCAAGGCCAGAGCGAAGCCAAACCGAGGATGGGCCACAAGCATTGACAAGATTGGACTCGGAAGCCAGAAAATAGCTCTGTGACTCGTTGAAACACTCTTGACTTTTGCCACACTCCTTTGGTGGATCGACTCATGTTACAGTAGTTCCTCAACCAAGAAATCGAATATGCAGCTGATTGCATTTGCAACTACCATCGCATTTGCGCGGACAATTTGCTCATCGTCCGGAAGACTCTCGTACGTTCAGGTTTGAGGCAGGAACGTTCATCAACTGGACGTGTTCCTCAAAAGGATCTGAGATAAAGAATTGGAACGTCCCAGCTTCACAGCTCACGGCGAATGCCCAGTGAATGGCTGCTCCCGGAAAAACTCTTGGGAATGGCTGCTCAACAATCCCATCTGACAATGGTGACTCAACAAAGTACCGCACCCCATCAATCCCTCATTTTCATGGAACATTCCCTTGAATTGAAGAGTTAGTATACCCGTGGGTAGACCTCAGAACGATCCATCCGATGAAACCAGGTAATTGTATAACACCAGGACACGTCAATCCACATACTGTATCCACGGTTGGATTATGCATGGAGGTTGGCCGAAGTTGGCAGGTTGCATGACGGTTCATGGCCCACATGTGTGCGTATGCATCAATGTGTGTGAGCGCATCAATGAACACACCATCACGCCCCGTGAATGTTAGGTTGGACGTCTATCCAAAGCCCATTTCATAGAGGAAAACGATCACCATGTTCATCAATGAATTAATCATCCAAACATGATCAAACATGGAGCTCTTTGCTGCTTCTTTGTCGCTCAAAATCGCCTTTTCCAGCTCCTTCTTCAGAGAGGCTATGACCTGCGTGTCAGGTGTCACGTCAGGCGGATCCGGGCGGATCAAGAGAATGGCTTGGTGAGCGGTTCTTTTTTGGAGGGGGGGTAGTTACGAATAGTTTCCATCACATCTTGTTTGTGGCAACATGAGGTATCATGAGGCAACTGGTTAGAAGTAGGGATACGTATTGACCCCATGAACCGAAAAGCCTGACCATACTTAATTAGTATAGAGTAGAGAGTCACTATATATAGTGCGCCCCAAGTGGCAAATCTTCAGATGCAAATACAAGTCCTGGTCATGCCGAGACCATCTGTGCCCTGTCATGCCATTTTCAGGACATGCCATGCCTTTCAACACCCATTCCGCGCCGCACCTGGCCCTGCTTGACCATATGCGTTTCCGACTCTTTGAGGATGCCCTGCCGGTGACGTCGTCGCCCTCTGAAAGTTAAGCTTGCTTGTTGGTAGCGATGGCCTCCATCTAGTAGCTCCTAGGTTACTAGAAAGATTAGACAGCAAACCCTGATGGGTCACTTTTGAAGCTGCAGCTGATGTGGATTTGGGACTTCGAGCAAATTGCATGCACATGTCTTCTTTCAGGATGCTGATGCGTAGGAAGGTCGGGCATTCACATGCTGAAGCACCCTGTCATTGGTTGGTGACCACCCTTGTCTCATGTGAATTCAGGGTGTCCCTGTCCGTGGTTATTTAACTAAAATCAACTCACCCGGTCTCATCCACCGAGCCATGTCGTGTCCCCTGGCCTGCCTCGTGTCACTCAGCCACCTCAGCCACCTCATGTCTCTGAGTTCTTCGCGTCCACTTCAGCTTCTCGCACCCCAACACCACCGAACCACAAAAAGACACTCACCGACTCAGTCGCAGCACGGACCAACCACCCACCCACCGGTCACGTCGCGTCCGTCTCTTCGTTCCTCGCCGACGGCCTGAAGTTCAGAGATCCGACCCTTTAAGAAATTGGCCTCGGTGCTCAGCCCCGTCACCTGGCGCGCGGGAAGAGCTGCTGCGGCACGAGAAGAAGTTCGGGAACTCGGCGGGCTTGCCACGGGGCCGTTCCAAGGACTCGGGTGAATGCAAGCTTGAACTTTTGGATGTGTGCTAATGAATTCCCCGTGGAACGTGGAAGACACAAAGACTGTAGAGGATTGATGGTGTTCCTTTTGGAAGTGGTTGCAACCCCCACCGGGCACAGATGCAGCAGTTATACACCCTGAGGATCGAAAGTTAGCTCTATATGCTAACATTTGGGGTTGTGTCTTCTGGGGCTCTCGGACCTCACCCTGTGAGGTCCGACCTCAAAAAACGAGATCATACCAGAACCCAAAAACCACAAAACCACAAAACCAACGATCCCAAATTCAAATTCGTCACGGGTTGTCACGCTGGAGTCCGACAATGACCTCATTTTTAAAGGGACAAAATAGACCAATCACGGTCTGTCACGGTTCGTCACGCCCTGGTATGCTTGGTTCTTGGGATTTCATGGTCTTATCCTCCGACAATGACACGTGCGAGCCACATCTTGCGAGGCCGGCCCCAGCTCCTAAGTGCGTCATGAACACCGAACAACGTGGTTTGCATAGATGTTGATATTGATCTTGCAATTTTCACCCTCCCCATGTGTAAACACCATGCAACAAGGCATTCACCTCCCCTCGGCAGCCCATGCTCAAATGACCAAGTAATCAAACACAGCGTGGACCCCGTGGGCAAGGTTGAGAAGAACGGCCTGCCGGACCAGCTTTCCGAAACCAACACGAGACCAGCACTGGTCGGAACCAGCTTTCCGAGATTGTTGAAGACCCGCAGCGTCAGGGCTCCTTTTTGCGAGGCGGCTATAGGTCTCTGGATGGTTCCGACTCATTCCTTGGTGCTTCGCGCGCCGTCTCGGTGTCCACCGCGTCCTTTTGCGAGAGGCAGCTTCGCATACGCTTGAGAAATCGCAAGGTGGTCCAGGTGTCCTCTTCCGCACCTGTGCAAGTGCCCAAAATCACCAGCTGCGGTGAAGCAGAGCGAAGGACATTGGACATGAGCATGGTCACTGCCGATTCCCGGTAGGGAACAAATCCACGCGTTCGTCCAGGAATTAGGCACTGCAGAACTTGAGTCACAGCATTCAAGGGCTTCAATTCAAAGATCACTGCGGGGTCAGGGCGGTGATGGGTAGCGTGTGTAGCACGTGGAAAGTTTGAGGCCGGCAGCCGCACGAACTGAATCAGTGAGGGTTCCTCCAGATGCTCCAAGGACAAATGGATGTTAAACACCTTGGCGTCAAGAACCAGTGGATGCGAAACCGAAACCAACAGAGTCCAATTCAATATGAACACATGAATCTCTTAAAGCATCATAGAATAAACCTTTGAAACTCATTACTAAAACCTACCATGTCCTGCAAACATCTGCAAACCCGGGGCACCAGTGATGTCTTGGTGCTGGAATGTGCAAAAGGAGGCCCTCGGCTCCCATTCCGGGAGGCTAGGCCTGTTCGCAGTGCAGTTGCCACATCCATACTCCGGGGTTGGATGCCCTCCACAGTCACTTGGTCTTTGCCATATCGCACACGATGATTCTGTTCCAAGCTGGTCTCTTCAGCTAGCAAATCATAGGCCCGCTCGGTGATAATTTCCATGAACTCCACTGCCACGGAGTTCGTTGTGACATTTGCCTGGAGATATTTGTGAGTCTTCAGCACAAGGCCATCTTCACCAAACATACTATGCATCTTTCCAGAACCTGCGGGACCATAACCCAAAAGCAAGCTTCGCCGACCTTGCAAGCTTTGCAAGAGCATGTCTTCCCAAAACTCGGCAAAGATCATCTCAGAATCTGCAGCTTCATCAAAAACGTAGTCCAATTCCAACAAGTTCCCCTTTGCGTCAGTTACCAAGCCTTGTGCTGTATCCATAACCAGGGGCGTTGCTCGAGGATGCCGCCAAGAGCGAAGGACGCACACTGCAAAGTGCCGCGGGGCTAGAAGAATTTGAATGTCTTGGTCCTCCGTGAAGATGTCATTGTTTGAATTGAAGGAGAAACCGTTTCGCAATCCTTTTAAACTTTACTTCACAAGGAAACCGTAAGAAATAACAAATCAAACAAAAATCACAGAATCACACATCTAGAGTCTTCCGTGAAGACCTGTCCCTCCGAGACCAAGCCATCTTTGCACACCAATTGCGTCGACCTGGGGTCCGCCCGTCGCAGCGGAGTAAGGCGCCTCGGTACGGCGAAGAGTTGGCGCCGTAGGTCCTCGCCGCTCGATGCGCGAAAGCGGCCCAGTTCTTCACCGGACACCAGTGCCACGGTCAGCAGCGGCGCGGCTATTTCCATTTCTATGGCGAGGTGGTGGCGGCAAGCAGGTGGGGCCACTTTTTGAGGGTTTTCTATAGCAAAGGATTGGTGTGTGGCAGTGTAAGGTCGAAAAGGCTGACCAGGTTCTTCAATGAGGGGGTGCACTGGAAACTTGATGAAGAATGCAAGCTCGACAGGACAAGCTCGTCACGCCCAAAACCCAGTGCCTCTTGCACCCTGCACACAACCGTCTAGAGTTCGGATATCCGTCCGGTTGACCCCACGCGGTTCAAACACTGAAAACACGCAACACACGTCCTTGGACGAGTGAAACCCTGTGAAACCAATCAATATCAATCCATACAATCTCTATGATTGTCTCAACAAACCTCCAAGGATCTCTAATCTCCAGCACATGTTCAATCAACTGAACAATTGACTAGAGACCCCACACTTTACGAAGACACGTCTCAACATGATGATTGATTCCCGGCATCTATATCCGCTATTATGCATTGGCCTGGCCATGTCACTTGGCTGAAAACCATGAGCAATGAGCGGATCACCGGTGCCGCCTTGCCCTCGAGGCTTCCGATGTGGCGGACGTGCTGCAACAGTTGGCTCTTGGTCCCTGGGACGCGTCGCGCAACCACCGCTCGTCGCGGTCGGAAGGACCGGGTCTGAAGCGAAAACAACCAGGTGTTGATGTCTTTTTCCAAGGGATCTGAGCAGTGCTGATCAAATGCTTCAAAAGGCAGCATGCAGCTGATTGACCAAAACACCTAGGGTCACTGGGATTTCATGGGTAGGTGGAGAAAACCTGACGAATGGGTCCAAATCATATCGAAATCAAACTGTATTATATATGCTGCTAGTTTCATACTACTAACTACTATTAATCTATATATTATCAGCATTATATTGCCTTGACTAAGATTACACTAATGATATCTAATTATTGTGAAGTATTGACTCCATCTTCTCCCACCTCCTCCCATCTTCAGTGACTCTCCCACCTTCTTTGCTCTCTGCATGCTTCCTTCGCTCCTCTTCCAGCTCCTGTCGTGCACCTCAGCTCCCGGCTTGGCAGAGAAACCAGCAGGGGGTGGACCTGAGTGGGGGGCTGGTGGAAACAATGCATGTCAAATTTCTGTGTCGAGGCTATAAAGCATAATCTATCACAATGAAAGTGTTCGTTCATACAGGGCGTATTTCAGTACCATAATCCATCGCTCACAACAGGGTTTTTTTCCGGTCTTCCGAAACAGGGCAATATATTATAATTGATGACGGACTTGGCTTTAAACTCCGAAAAGATTGATTCCCCCCAAAACTATTCGAACAGAACCCACTTGAACCATCTTGAACCCATTGAAACACCCAATAAATATCTCCTCTAAAGCAGCACCGATCGACCCCATGCCAAACTGGGACCCCTCTTCGTCCCCTTAATGTCTTCTTGGTGCATCTTCGTCTTCCTCCTCCGCTCCAGTCCGCCCCGGTGCCCTTTCCACTCGCCGGGCAGCTACTCAGCAGCTGCTGGTGCTCGGTATGACAGGCGTCGTGGGCGGTGGTGAGGTGCTGACGCTCGCGGTGCAATTCCCCGTGGAGCTCCTTGCGGTGAAGATGGCGCAGAACCCACGGGTAAGCCAGCTGGCTCCAGCAAGGGCATGTTCAAATGCGCAACCTCACCTGCAAGTGGTGCAGGAAGTCTTCTGAAATCATGCGGTTACCAACTGGAAGCTGAAAAGACTTGATCCCTACGGATCCAACAACCAGCCCCGGGTTCAAGTGGTGCACATCTCCAACCACTGCTATTGCAGTAGATGATCCCTTCGGATCCGGTGAGAAAATCCATGAAAATCCGGGATCGCAACTCAGGTGAGAACCACGTTCAGCAACATCCACTCACTCTGAATTCTTGAAGGCAAACACCATTTCCCTAGGGATCCAGTCGTACCTTCGCAGGTTAGGTGATTGGAGACACTGTTATGTAGGTTTGGAGGGTCCAAGCACCTTCTGAGAAGGTACTTGGATCCCTAGGGCCCTAGGGTTTGGGAGTCTTTCATCATCGAATTCAAATCGTACATGCAGTTGGGTCAACGTGGGGACTTGAAGCTTCCATCCGCCGCTGACAAACAACAAGCATTTTTGTTACCGACTATATGTATACAAATATATTATAATATCATCCGACCAAGTCGTAGGTTGTATAGAGATTCGATGATGGAGGAAATGCTGTAAGCGTCTCCAAAAAGGCAACTCTCGCACAAACCACGTGGAAGAAAGTGAGGACACTCTACCAATCTTACCGTAGGTGGAGCAAATTGAAGTTGGCTTGTGGACGAATCAAACATCTGAAGATCAAGCATGTGCTTTAGGGCGCTTATTGGTCCATCGTCTGTAAGATCATAGAACCTAGGTGGAAGCTTTCAAACTGCCCTATAAGTCTATAACAGCAGCAGCATCAACTACTTGTGTTTTTTTTTGTATCTATGCATGTAGAAACACACATAAACATGTCATATTACATGGACGTCCACCTCCGCTTGTTTCCGGGAAAACTCCTGGAGGTGCGAATGATGTTTGTCCTGATGACCTTCACGTTCCCTCTTCAACCTCGGTGGTGTCCAAAAGCCGAAAAATTGGTCAAGGCGGGCAAGGCCGACTTTTGTGAGGCCTTTTGATCCGGTTGGTGGACCTGGTGCGGCATTGGATGGTCTACGTACAGTACTACACCACCCATGGAAGTGCGCTGGCGGTGCCTTGCACTGATCGAGTCCATCAGGCTGAGGAGCCGGCATGGTGTAGGTAGTCAGGAGTCATAGTTAGGTCGCAATTTATTGTTCCCCAGCCCAGCCCATAAGTTAATCTCCAATGTCAGAGGAGCTGAAAGCATATTGGCCTGATTGACCTGACAAAATAAGGGTATTGTATAAGCCATGGCCTTCAAATAACCATTAAGATAGAACACCTGACCTGGTGTGGTAGGTCTGAAATCCTCAGTAAACAAAGGGTTGTTCAAACAAAGAAGACACATCAATGATGGCATCCGAGGGATCTTTGAGGATCTCGAAGGTGCATCTCGGAGGTAGCGAGATGCAGCGATAGCGGTCCCGCTGTTGAAAGAGATCGCTTCACTCAGCTGTGCGGCTTTTCACGCTCTTCCTCCAGCTGACTCTTCTGCCGCTGCAACTCCGCTTGCGCCTCCCGCAGTTCCTGGAACACCGGTGGACTGGACTGGGTCGGGTGGAGCGGGGACGGGCTGGTGGACTGGTTGGTTATTTTGGGTTGGTTCGAAGGTTGCCGTTCTATCCGGCCGGATGGATGACAGAAAAAAAGGAGGCTCAAGGACTTGAATTCAAGGCCTATGTCGCAGTCTTCTCATCAAGGTCCTTTGACAGGTCGAGGACTTGCATGAGAATCCGTCGCGGTCGAACCGGCTTCCACTCCCACGGGTGGCTCTGAATGGCTTTGAGAGGATGCTCCAACTGCTGGAGCAAAGGTCTTCGTCATCCACATCTGTGATTAGCAACAGGCTTCGGACAATGGCAGCAATCGGATCGAACATCCACAACTGGCATAAGGGGTTGGGGAACTCCCTCTATCTCCTTGGTTGGTTCCCTGTTTCTGGAATGGATGCCCCCGTGGCTCCTTAGCTTCCTCCCTCCGCAAGAGCTAAACAATAGTCTTAGCATAGTCTTAGGTTTGTCTTCAGATGGTCCTCCTGCAACTGCAAGGTCTGAAGAGAAGCAGCCTCGAGGTCTGCGCTTCCACGTCGCAGCGGGGAATTTCCGGCTGCTCGTTCAGTGGTGAAGCAATGTTGAGGGAGGGGGGCATTCTCTGATACTGCTGTGCTTGGATATGCTTGGTTTGGCATGGCCTGCTGCTATTCAATTGCTAGACATGAAGTAAGAATCTTAGAACAATACCTTGGGTTTGGCTCTGCAACCCAGGAAGGTCGAATATGCAAACAACTGAAACACCATCCCCTGCACTTGGCAAACGCTGGTCAGCTATCATTTCCGAGATGCCTTTCAAGTGTGAGAAAACGTTGGGACTGTGAGGGCTTCAAGTGTTGAGCACCTGACCTCCCTGCAGCCAAACAACATACGTCAGATCAATCAATCAATCAATCAAAGCAATTGTTCGGTTATTTTGTGGAGAGCATGGACAAAGCACGTGGTGCCTCAAGAGACAAGCGTGAGCCCGGTTCGTTTCATCCACGCAATGATGGCCTCCAAATGGTTTGCTTCACAGCCTCCAATGCATATTCTTTCTCCTTTCGACCCTCACTGGCAAGGGGTGGCTTTGGGAATTCAAGAGTGGTTAAGGATGAGCACCCCTACATAAGGATGAGCAATCATAGACTCAATCGACCGCATCGGGGCTACTGCTGTGAAAGCATCTGGCACCAGTATCACCCACAGTAACACCCACCAAACACAAGTATCTTAACTTGTGAGTGTAGATTAAATGCATTCGAAGAATAACATAGAACAGCATAATTGACATAGGGATCTCCCAGCCTTTCATTCAGTGTATGTTAAAAGTCATAGACTCCCGGCACAAACCAGGCAGCAAGAAGTGCACCCCCCCAAAAAATAACTACTAGGAACAAGAAGCTAGTAGGAGCTTCTGGCATGCTACGAACGAGGCTCCTGGCCTTACTACTAGGAACAAGAACGCTGGTAGGAACAAACGACCTGTTCACTTAAAAAACGCGTTGTGTCCCATCGGCCCTCGCCTCGGCGGCCGCCTCGTTCGAGCGCTGGCTCGCCAGGTGCTCCGCCGTGGTCTGCGAGCAATCGTTCGAAGCGGCGCTGGCGAGCGGCTCGGGGCGAAGCCCGCCCAGCCAAGCCCCATCCATGCATGGGAGATATGTATATATGCCGTGTATATATATATATATATTTTAGTATATTCAGATATTGCATTCATATCTAGAAAGGCATGTGCATGATTCATCATCATATTCGTATTCATAGCCCCAGTGGATTCCCGTTACCACCTAATCAGTAACCAGAGTTTGTAGGTCCATTGTTTCAGTCTCTGGTTGCCAGCTATAGTGGTGACTGGATCCCTGGCTCAAAGTTTTGACCATCTATCTAAGCTCTAATCACTTGGAATTGGAGCCATGTGACTCTTGATGATGGTACGTATATTGCGAAAGCCATTTGGTAAAGTAAAACATTCCAAGCACTTGTCAAACTCTGTCGATGTCTTCAGATTGGTTGGCTCAAAGCAACGTTGGAGATCCTGAAAATGGAACACATTTCACGATCAAGTCAAGCGCCATGCTATGCCGTGCATTCTTAAAACATCATAAATGAATCATGAATGGATATAAGTGACACTTTATCTATATCATAATGGATATGGAAAGGATATCATTCTTATGATTGGTCCCACTTTGCTGCGGGACTCACCCTAAACCACTTCACCTGGCCAGTACCCAGCACCCGCTGCCCGCTCTGTTTCGATCTTCTGGCTTGCTTCGGCGATGAGCTCCGCCAGGTGAAAACGCTTCACTCTTCTTCCTCCGCACAAGAAAAGGACTCTGATGCTCATGCCTGCTCCAATTGTTTGGTGTGTCCCCGCACCCTCCTCTCTCTCTCTTCTTTTTGAGAAGGGTCTTGCACCTATTTTGCACTGGACCAAGAATTTTGCGATGCCCCCCCCCAACCCGACCCGCCCCAAAGGGCTAAAGGCGGCCACGGCCCCACGTGGTCCTCGTCCGTTTGGCGCATGTCCCGGGCAAACACCTCGGAGCTCGTCTGCTGCTCCAGGGTCCAGTCCTCTGGGCGATCCGAGCGCAAGGCCGCCAGTGCTCCGGGGCGAGCCTTCAGTGTCTCACCTGGAGGGCTGGAAAACAGGGCCACCGCGGGCCTGGCCATCAAAACCTTGGACATCCTGAAAACACTGTTAGTCTTTTGATGTCTTTTGGGGGGGGGGCTCAAGGTGGCTCAATGGATCTTAGTGGGGTAGCAGCAACTTGAGATTCTAGATCAATCGACTTCCAGCGACCCATGGTCCACTTCTGCCAACTGGAGAGTTTCTCATGTCAGCGCTCCAGCCTGGCAGAAGTTTCCCCTCATGGATCTTCTCCAAATCCTGACACTGCTCCTCCAGTGGCACTGCTTGAGCTTGGGAAGTGGCAGACTTCACCATGAGGGCGATGTCCTGGTCCGAATTCATGTCCGACTGCCTCAGAGCGACCCCCCTTGGCCTTCAAAAGCCTTTAGGCATTCAAAGCTTTCTTTGGCCAAGCTAGCTGTCACAGGTGGAAATTGAGGGAAATCACTTTTCCTCAAGTGGCCTCAGCACCTCGGCTCCAAAACCCCTACATCAGAGCAATAAAAAAACAACAAATTGGTCGTATGAGTTGTTTGAGTGGCATTGGTCGGCAGCCAAAGAGCCAAAAGAAGAGAATGTTAGCCCCGTTCGTAGCGTCCAATCGCTCCTAGTAGCGATGCCCTTTGCTCCGTTCGTAGCGTCCGATCGCTCCTAGTAGGTTTCACCAGACTGAGTCACCACACACCGAAAGAAGAGCCCGTGGAGCCCGTTTTTGCGGCTTTCGCAGTGATGCCTTCATGCTTTCATCGGAACAGAACCAACGCGGAACGCCACCGTCCGTGCTTTTGGACCCCCCCAGAACCTGGCTCCGTCTTCCCAAGTGGTGGTCTATCTTTTCCACTTGCTTGGCCTATCTCTCGGTCGTCTTCGGCCTGGTGAGTTTCCGTTTGGAGAGTCCATTCTGCCAGGCAGCTCGACCTCAAACCATGCAAAAGCTGGCACATACTCCTGGCAGCCAGGGCCAGCGGGCATCATTGAGATTGGGTGATTCTTCTAAATCCTCTCTCCGAAAGAACTGAGGGCCACTGTGATTTAGAGCTGGTGGTGAGTAATCCTTTCATTTGAGAGGGATCTGAAGGAGTTTTGACTGTTCCTGGGCAACGCCGGAAACATCCTTTTCCTCGCCGAAACCCAAGCATCAGATTCTCGGTGTTTTGGGGGGGAGTTACCTTGCTTCAGAGCTTGCTTCAGAAGGCCCCAAGAGATCCCGGATTGCAGCTGTCGGGACGATCATTGAAGATCGAGAAAAAAACGGGGTCTCAAGATGCCTCAAGCTGTCTCATCTCTCCATTCTTCACCGTCCTCGCCTTGCCCTCGAAGTTCTTCTCCCGCACCAAAAACATGGCGGCGTGGTTGTCCCCGTCGAAGGTATCCCCTTCATGACCATTGTCGATAAAGGTGTCCAAATGGTCCAAGAACTTGTGCATCCTCAGCGGAGTGCTGCAGCCAAAGCGGCTAGGAGAGGTATATACCATTCAAAAGAGCAGTCTAGTACAGTAGATTCAAACGATGTAATTTGTGATGCAGTTGTGTCGAGCAATGGCAGCCATATGACCAACCATCAAACATTTCTTCTTGCAAAAAAAACATAAGCAAAACAAAAGCACATGAAAATGCAAAAGCAGCGCAATTTGCTTTGTGTTTGCATGTGTCTTGCTCTTTTCCTGGTACAGTACCACTTCTGCACTTATGAGAACTGTTACCCGTCAGCAATATTTGCTCTACGCTCCTAGGAAAAACACGAAAAACACGGCGAAAACAAAGCGAAACACATGCGAAAATATAGCGAACAACATGTGAAAATAAAGCGAACACAATGCGAACATAAAGCAAGTGACAAAAACGACAAACACGCACAGCTACTTGTGTTTGTTTTTTTTGGTTGTTTGCTTTACATTTAATGTTGTTTTGCTTGTTTTTGCTGTAAAACATATTTAGGCTATTTTAGGCTCCTTGTATCTATGGCTGGCGTGCCCAACTCAATGATACAGTTTAACGATGCTGTTTCTGGAATAAATACAGTACCGATGCGTGTCAATCTTCTCTGGATCATTGCTGCCAATGGGTCTGTCACTGTCACTTATGCTCCAACATCTACAGGGTGAGACTCTCGCATGGAGTTCAACAATGTGGGTCCATGTTTTCTGGTTTTTTGAACCCTATACACGCAAAAACTGATGAGATTGGCAAACGTCAACATGAGTGGTTCCACAAGAGGCTTTTAGGGCTTACCTCAGTCATCCAGAGTCACAGTTGATTCTCTCGATATGGTTTAAATTTGTTTGATTGTTTCGTAGAAGCTGCCATGAGAATCCCAAACTTGCAAGCTTTGAGAACTCATTCCGTGCCCAGCCAAACTAACCTCACGGTGTTGCACGGTCTTGACCGACCACTGCTCCTGGTCTCCACCCAAAGGGTGGTCATTCGATGGAAAACAAAGAGTCTGTATCAACAACCCTTCAGGCGGTGCAACGGTAATCCACAGCAACGGTAATCATTTTAGGAAAGCAACACATGAACTGAATTACAAACAGCTACTAGTAACAAGTGCATCGCTTCTAGTACAAGTGCCTTACTACTAGGAACAAGGTTCGCTACTAGTAGCAACACATGAACTCATTGACGAAATCCACACGTTCCATCCAGCCCAGCACGTTGCCCGTGTCAAGAGTCGAGAAGGCTCCAAAGCCATTGATGTTGGCAAAGGGGTTTCTCGAGCACAGCCAGTCCGAAAGGTCATATCCTGAAAACATAAAAGGTTTGACATCCTGCTGAAAAGGCATGTGTAACTGGCTTTCTGGATTTACAACCCATACCAATCTCAATGTGAATAATTCAATTATATATTATTATATTCCAAACACTTCTGCGCTCCTGGCTCAACATCTGACTTGATGTAGCCCTGCATGATGTGAAAGTTGGTGTTGCTTCGCTTCACCTGGAAGACCCGACGTCCAGTTTCGCCCACCGAGTCAGCGGGGGATGTGCACCTCTTCGGACGTGGAAGCCCGGCACTGCTCGTGTGCTCTTTGGTTGTGGCTCTGTGCTGCTAGGCTTTGTTGTGGCTCTGTGCTGGGCGTTTTCCCATGATGAGAGGACTCTGTGTAACCACCCCGGCATCCAACAAGTGATTCTCTGCACCCAACTTGTGCCACAATGATCAACCACTTGGATAAGTCGTGAACCGCCTGTGTGCGATGTCTTCCCTCCGATCTTCCAAGCAGCAATGGCGAAGAGGTGATTCTGTGATCGCCAAGTGCCGACGGTGCTCCACGAAAGATATGCGAAGAAGACTCTTGGTAAGTCCTCGCAAGAGGGAGGTGAAGAAACACCAACCTCTTGAAAGAAGCAACGAGTTTGGTGGCCTCATGGCAGAAATTGAGAGTTCCACACCACCACCGGTGGAACGCTAGGCCCGCTAGGCATTGCACATCTTCCAAGGAAGACTTCTTGAAGTATTTGAACTGCACCAGGTAGTGGAGAAAGAAATGGGTTCCCTAAGCAGTCACACGACACGAATGGTGTGTATATGATTATATAGAATTAACTATAATGAATTATAGCATTCAGTCTACCCGAGTCTACCCATGTCACACCCCTTCAGTCAGGGAATTCTGAAGCCTTGTGGATCCTCGATCTTCTCAGGGGTGCTGTCCTCTGGATCTTCCTTCCTCAACAGCTCTGCCTTCAGCGAATCCAGGCTGGCTTGTGCCACATCAATCCTGGGCTGGACCCGCAGAAAGGCACCCCTGCGACCAAAATCCATCGGGACGACCTGCAAAAACAAAAACTCCTGATATCATTCCCCAAACACTCCATGTATGGTATATTTATATTTGCCTACATTGGGGTGGTTTGAGGGGTCAATGTAGGCATATATGGCGTACATGGAGTGTCTGGGTTCTTGAGCTGGATGGAATTCCCGCTTTGAAATGCCGAACCGAACGGGCGTTTCTTGATGTGCTACCCGAAAAACGACAACCACAACAAGTTTTTTTCGTCCGAGGATCAAGAAGTTTCTTCCTCCACGTGCTTGCAAAAACTTCCTCTCCAAGCTACCATGCGACAAGGCCCCAGGACTTTGGTTGCCCAGGTCTGTATGGCGAACCAAATCTTGCACCTCAGCTTGGGCACTGGCGAAGGAGGAAAGTTCTGCGATTGTTCTTGAGTTTCCATTGTGCTTTGCAGCTCTTTTCTTCTAGCTCCGACCCTATCTGTATTTGGAGCCCTGGCCAGTCCTATTTTGTGGGGAGTGGCTTCCCGGATTACCACCAACGCCTGAACCCCTTAAAGATCAGCGATTGCAGCTTTCCTCTGCAGCGAGAACATCACGTGTTATGTTCACCTGGTAGCACAACGGTCGATGGTGAAAGCATGTTGGATATGACCTACTGGCCAGTCACAGCCATCCCAATTTCTCCTGCGCGCCGCTTTGCGCCGGCGAATTTCTGTGACAGGCACGCGCTTCCATAGGCCCAACGTCACATAGTCCAAGTACATGTAATCCAGTGGCGTGGAAAGGCAAGATTTCCTTGGACGTGCCCCGCATGACAGCTTGGATGAGAAACATACGGAGGGGGTCCGCTTCATACTTTCAGCACATTTCCTCCTGGAAGCCAAAGCCCATTGACAAAGATCTTACATCTTCACCAGGCACCAACACCATGTTCCTTCAGGCTGCTAAGACCTTCCAGGGAAATAGCTCTAATTGAACAACTTCCTCAATGGTTGCATTGCGAAATCAAGCCGGACAGTAAAGGACCAACTGTTGGAAGAAAGGACCATTGATCGTCATCGACCAATAATGACTCTGACAATCCCCGTCTGCAGTTGAAAAAGGTACCGGGGTGCATGTTTTTCGGGCAATATGTATTCCAAAATACATAGCAAAACTTGTAATAGGTGAAACACGTTGAAACACCACATACAAAAAAAAAACAACTTGCACTCCATCAGCTGGCACATTCTTCAGTGCTTTCTCCACATTTTTCTTGCCAATCTTCAGGTTCTTCTTGAGTACCAAAGGGTCCTGGAAGAACACGGTTCGGTTGGACTGGTGCCGTACTGGTGGCCGTACTAGTTACCAGCAATCCAAAGAATTGGAGACTTCACACCCCCTTGCGCCCGGCAGCCCGCTCCTTGGTAAAAAGCCTGGAATAGCAAAGGACTGTGTTGCCACAAGAGAGCACGTCTGAGATGTAGTCGCTGGCCTTGGCACAGTCCTTCAGAAAGCGTGACTGGTTGGTCGCCAGAATGGCCTGAAGTCAGCCAGGACGCAACACATGTGGAAGCAGGTGGGAATGGCTCAAGAAAGCACGTGGTACCCCCACAGAAGGCACCTCTAAATATATATATATAGTTATAGTTACGATAGTTCTATATACTAATTGATGCAAAAACTTAAATAATTAAACATTAGGGTCCAGTTTTGCACAAGAACTGTTTGAATCTTCATGCTGCTTGCAGAAACCCATTCTTTAGAAAAAAAGTACCCGTCTGTCGATCAAGTCGAACGGAACCAAACCAGGAATCTGCCAGCAACCGGAAGGAAGGAAAGGAACCTGCAAAAGAAGCTGTCTGAACCATCGCCTCAGAACTACCTAACAACCAATGCTGGGCGGGCTGTGGCACCTTGAACTTCCCGAAGCTCTCGACCATCTTCCGGCGCTCTGCTGGGTCGATCGCATCCACGCGTTGGTATTGGACATCCGCGCGGAAGCCGAGGGCGACAGCGGACAGGAGGCTCACGACATAGAGATTCATGTAGAACCTGAGGCTGGTCGGACTTCACATTCGACCCACTCAAATGGTGCGCCCTCTCTCTCTCTATATATATAAATAAGTAAAATTAAGTAAATACAACTTGTAAACAAGGGAGGGTCTGTGGTTCTACCAGTACCCTCCAACAAGTTACCCATGCCCATTGCCCATGCCTATATCATATGATTGCATAAGCTTGTACAGAGTGAACCCTCGAAGACTGGCATCATCACACCCAACAAAACTTGTTCATCTCAACAAGTATGCAAAGCAATGTGTACTCCATAATGTGTCATGTCGCATTCTGCAAACTAAAAGAGTCCTTTGACAAAAGCCTTGAATTCGGAATCCGTTCGATGCTGTACGGGCTGACAAGGGCCAAGGACACGGTCAAAGGATGTGGATGTCACTGACTCTTAGAGTTTCCCGAGCACGTCGCATGTGAACGGCATGTGCTGAATCGACCAACGAGATTCTAAGGTAGCCACTGGGTCACGTTCAATGTGTATTAATTATATTAATTAAAGTGTTCTCTCTCTCTCTCTCTTTCTCTGACTCACTGCCGATTGGACCTGCTTTCGCTGTCAAAATTGCCGGCAAGTGACTGTGAGTCGGCAAACCACGAGGCTCCGCTGAGAGCCCAAGGGCTGACGGACCAAACGCACAAAACCGCCTAGATTGAGGTGGAGAATTTAGAAAGGTCAATGTCCTCTCATGTCCTCTCTACTCGTGGGTGCGCAAACACGTTGTGGTTATGGGCCAACAACCTGAAGCCAAACATTCTGGCCTCATAGAGAAAACTGGGCCACACATGTAATCCGCTGATGCCTACTGGGCCTACTACCATTATCTACGAACGGGGCTCCTGGCATCGCTACTAGGAAAACGACACCGAATCCGCGGCCTTGGCGGCAAGGGCTCGTGTGGCTTCAAGGTCGTGCTGCAGCGAGAAGTTGCGCTCCTCGTTGGACTTCACCGAGGCCTGGCGGCTGTCGGCAGCAAAGCAGAAACAAGTCGTCTTCAAAATCTTCAAAGAAACGAGTCTTGGGCAGCACGCATGGTCGTGGTTGAAGAAGCCCTGTTTCATCATGTCGTCGTCATGGTTGTTGTTGTCGTGGTCGTGGTTGTTGTGGTTGTTGCTGTTGTTGCTGTTGTTTGTTGTGTTTGTCGCCGTCGTCGTCGTCGTTCTGGGGTTGGCTCCAAAACGACAGCATAAGATGAAGACGTCACTGCTTTCTATCATGGTCTTGAAGAGAAGGTCACTCCATTCACATCGTGTCACACCTCCCAAGAGGATGAGCAATGTGATGAGAATATATAATCACAATTGGAAATGGACAGCCACTCACATCGTTGAACTGTCCCAATTCTGTAAGCAAAAGGACAGCATCCTCCGCGAGTGGGCTCTGTCATGAATGAGACTTCATGTGGGGGAGCCCCATAACCTCCCCAAGAAGCAGCATCCAACAATTTCAAGGATGAAGCCTCAGGCTCATATTATGTAATTCTGCGTGTACAAGTTCACAGGTTGTTCTTCCCATTTCATAAGAGAAGAGAACCGAGAACCCATGTCACTTTTCACAATGCTAAAGGGGACATACATTTTACATATATATATATAATCGATTACAGTAGCATTGACAACTTGACCTCGCTTTAGATCTCATGTAGCAACAGGGGTTTAAAGTGGTAAATCATGGTGAATCCCCCCGATGTGCATTGAACATGTCAACTGTATTGGAACATCTACCGTATCAAACAGGACTGTATTCAGGTCTCCATGATGAAGGCAGGTGTGACAAGGTCTCGCCTTCAACTCCGCTTCTCGGACTTTGGCCTGGAGCGATCGGAGATGCGATCGCGTCACGCAAGATGCGATCGTCTGCGATCCTTTCGCATTGAACTAGGATGGGTACAAACAAGTAACATCGAAGGGGTTGACAAGGCCTTGCGTGCTCAAGAATAGGTTTTAGACCATCATTGAACTTTCTCAGTGTGCTGTGGCATCTCCAAAAGGATCCAAAAGGTTGACACTCCAACTGGTCTCTGGCGCACACATGTTGTGCAGATTCAGCCGTCGCCACGCGCCCCCCCCAAGAAATACAAGCCATAGCAATGTAGCAATCTCCGGCTCGTGGTCATTGTGTGGATCCACCATGACATGCAGACCACGGCGAGAGGATTGTGCAGTTCTTGTCACGTACTGGGACAAGACTTGTCAAAGTGACGAGCGCCTACCATGTGCTTGGTATGACAATGCATTTTTATCAAGTAGTATAAGTTATGGCAGCTATGGTAAGTTAGTAGACAAATGTCACCGTAAAATGGTCTTTGACCACTTAGCCACTTCCGAGCCCGTCCAAGCATGAGTTGATCATTTCTACAACACCCGACACATGTTCCTCCATACTACATGCCAATCATTCGTACGGGGCAACCCTCACCGTTCCCAACTCAGCCACACAACCGTTGGCAGTGTCGCAATGGGATAGCTCTGTCCCTTCAGGACAGCTCCGGCCACCCCAAATGCCCCACTCCGGTCACCTCCTGACGCCCACGATGTGCGCCTCCTCCACATCTGCTTGAATCGCACTCAGCTGCTGCAAGCCATCTTCCAGCTCTGCCCCCTTGCCCTTGGCAGTCATCTGAGCGTTTGGGGGATCCAAAGAGTCCCGCGATTCGGCAAACTCTACCCTTAAACAAGTTATAGACATGATTTCTGTAGTAGTTTGTATAGTAGTATAACTATATATATATATATCATATATATATATATAAGTGTATAGATGTTTTGAACGAATTGAAGAACCTCTGTTGTCGTCTTGAGCTGCTTGTTGGCGGTTTATTTTCTGAACCTTCCGTGGAAAACACGTGTCACTCCAATGTCCAGAGACCTCTTCACCGCTTCCAAGCACGGTCCCCCGTCGTCGTCGTCGTCGCTCCGCTCAGCCTGGAGCTCCACCGTCTTCGCCTCCTTCTCTTGGCTCGCTGCCCGGAAGCGTTCCATCGACTCCTTGATGGAGGCCTCGAAGTGGCGAGCCAACGTGGCGAGCTATTTCAAACCCAGCGCGTCAGTCGCTTCTGGTGTAGTTTTTGAGCTGGGCGTTTGGAATCAACGTGGCGTGAGCAAATGGTTGTAGAGTGCTGCTTGGAGAATCCCCATCGCTGGCAATCCGCACACCATCCAAAAAGGAGCCTCAAAAGGGGACCATACCAAAAAAACACCTACAGTGACAGTGGTTTCAGAGTAGATGGCACAATCACCAAGAGGTGGTTTATATGGACCCCCATCTAAAAGACATGTAGGAGTTTGTGCCATCTACTCTGAAACCACTGTAACAAAATGCCAGCACTAATGCCAGCTTCAATGATCTGGATCCATCGACTTCCATCCTCTTCCAATTGCAATTCCTTGGAAAAAACCGCCAGGCCACGGTCGCCACACCGAGAAATGGCGCCATGGTCGCCACACGGAGACCCAGACCACCGTGGCCTCGGTCGCTTCGAGTTCACTCCGCACAGCGCCCTCCAGCTTCGCGGCCTCCGTTCCGCTCGGAAGGCGGGGGAAGGCTGGCGGTGAGCCCACCGGTTGGAACGGGACAAGAAGAACGGCACACAAACAGAGCCAACCTTCACACCAACAAAAGGGGTCATTCGATGTGAGAGTGATCAGATTCGTAGAAGTCATGTTGCAGTAGGTCTGCAAGCAAAAGCTGGGTCTCCTGGACTCGTCCCACAGACCTGCCTGCTCCCCCCAGGCGAGTGCCCTCCGCTGCGCTTCGGCGGACTGCTCCACCTCAGTCACGGTGTCATGCGGGACAGCTGGGAGGGTCAGAAGGTGTGGTTCACCAAGACTGGCTTCTGTAGAAAATACAATATGTCGAAAACCCTAGGGCTCCAACCACATCCTCAGAAGGTGGATGGGGTGGATGCCAGGGGGGGTCTAACCACCTTCTGAGGTTATGGTTGGAGCCCTAGGGAAAACATGGACACATGAAACACCATGGCATTTGCAGCGGTGTTCTGGTTGCTTCATCAAATGGTCCAGGAATGGTTCCAGGAATGGTTCCATCAACTATCAACACATTGTTGTCCCCGGAACGTATGGATAAATTATGAACAAATCACAGGTGAACCCGGGTGAATCTTGAAGTGCAGCACACCTGCTTTGTATTATACTTCTTTAAATCCCTCTGCTAATTGTTTGCCTTCAAGGTGCAAAATTACTAATTAACGTTATCTTACGATTGACTGATGTACCCCGCACCTACGCGGGCTGAAACATCTGACCGGGCTTCACCAGGTTAGGTCTTTCAGGTTGCTCCAAGAACAAACTAAGCTGACTCATGTTGACTCCGAAAACACCTGAAATGCACCAAAACGAGGCACAAACCCACAAACCCAAACCATCCCACAGCATCACAACGCATCACGAGGCGCCGTGGCACTCACAGCCGTGCGCGCGACAGCCACGGAACGAGCCGCTGCCTTCGATGAATGGAGGGCGGGACGGACCCGACGGAATCCTGTTCGTCACATACTCGATATGATGTGAGATCCTGAAGTTCAGACCAGGATATGAATATGATATGAATATGAGATGATGATGTGATATGACATGATATATATATATAGATAGTATAGATTTCACGCTCACCCATTGCCCGCACTTGAACCCGCCGTGTGACTCGATTTTGGCGCCTCAATGGCTGAGCGGCCGCCGCGAGTGACCGCGGTGCTGGGCAAGCGGTCCTGAGACGCCCCCGGCCCGAGCGGCCCGAGCGTGGTCCGATCGCTGCCAGCAGCCTTTCTAGAAACGGTCATCCACGTGTGTGGGGATGGTCGAACAGCTACACCAGTGCAAGTGCCAGGATGTTAGACCATGTCGCCTTCGATCGATGCTGGGAGATCCCCATCGACTTCATGTCACAGTCTGAGCATCCTGTGTCGCAGTCTGAGCCCTTCACACATAGGAAGGCCAGGGCATACCCCTTTGGTCAAACCCAGTGGTTTAACTGGATTACCATAACCGTTTGAAGTTTAAACATGTTAAACACTCTCCTCCGGTCTCCTATAGAAAGTGTCCCAGTCCTGTCCATGGTCTATCTGCCACTCTGTCTATCCACTAAGCGTGTTGCCAAGAGCTTCCCCAGGTCGATGGAGATCTTCTCACCTGCAAACATCTGTCAAACCTGGTCCTGCCTGCACTGAGCCAAGTGAGAAATTCCTGCTGACAAACACGCCTGGACGGACTTCAACGATCATACTTGCCAAAGGACTTCAGAAGCCGATAGTTGTAAAGGGCAAGTTCTTTCCAAACTTCAAACGTCTTCGTGTGTTTCTTCCATACCACGACCTGCCACCGTCGTTATTAAAAGGGAGCCTCCACAAAAGGTTCTAAGGCGGTAAGGAGGAGATTGTGGATTCTGGGTGAAAACACGAAGACCAGAGTTCCCAGTGCCCCAGTATTCCCCTTTGGTCCAACTAATATATTCAATCTTTCTCCACCTCCAACTAGTGGGTGACAGTAGCAAACGAAATTAACACACAACCGCTTCCAATGTTTTTCATGAGTACTGCGAGCTACCCAAGAAACATGCGTATATGTCTCCATTCGTCTGAGCCAGCACCCCACAGACTGACCTAGTGAACTTCCATCAGCTGCCCTCTATATATAAATCCAGCAGTTTCCTGGACCCAATGGTTTAAAATGGGAACTTGCTGCCCCTTTTTGTTGGCCTTCTTCCACAGCACCTTCTGGATTGTCCAGCCACGCCTGGAGATTGTCCCGCCAACATGGACAGTCCCAAGTGAAACACCTCTGTATAAAGTAGTTTCCTCTGCAAATAACAGGGAGAGGGGTAGTGACAGTGTTTTGTCTTCCAAGTGCTCAGATCAAAATGCGAGATAAATATGCAAGAATGCTATGTGAATGCAACAGACAAACTTGCATCAAAAGTGAGGCAAAAAGCACAGATCCACTTTATGTAGACAGTTGGATATACATATATAAAGTATATACTCCTGACACTTTGACAGTTGGAGATATTGTGTGACCAATCTGAGAGTTGGAGATATATGTGGATGGCCCTGAGAGAGCCGCAACTACGGTCTATAGGCCAATGGCTGAAAAACACACTCATGATCCCTCATGGCTTGTCTAAAAGAAACATGGCTTGTCTAGAACCGCGAATCCATTCAGATTCACATCGATTCACATGTAACATGCCCCATCATAACTTCCAAATCCCTCGGAAGAGATGTGTGTATATAGTGGTTATAGTTGCTGCTCGGGTGTCACCGCCTACCAGGTCCCACCAATTCATCCAATTAATTCTTCTACAGTGGTTTCAAAGCATATATATGGCACTGGCACCCCAAGATGTCCTGAAAAAATGGGGGCTCCATATAAACCACCGAACTTGGAGGCCCAGACGTGTCATCTACTCTCAATCCAATTCTTCTAGGCCAAAACACAGTTTCCATCTCGTTGGCGTCTTCACGTCACACCAATCGGCCCGAGGCGTCCACACACACCAACCGTCGAAGCCGTCGCCTGCCAAGGCTTCAAAGCCTCGGAGAGCTGCTGATCGGCCAAACGACCATTTTGTTGCCTCACTTGGATCTCCTGCAGGCCACATGCGGAAGAACTCAGGAGCTATCTTAAAAGCCGAGGTCGTCTGCCAAAGCTGCACAGCAAATGTAGAACACCCCCTATGCCCAGGTATGCCCAGGTGCAAAAACGTGGGATGTCGCACGTGAGTGCTGCAAAGTCTGCGAGTCCTGGGGCTAAGGGGTAGTGATACAAGTTATTCTCATCGATCTTTCTGTCCCATATCATGTCCCTTCCGTGCATAAATCCAACTCATGACCCCCCCTCACGATCCATCGTGCTTCCATCTCAGATCTTCACCAGAACATCCTCAGATCTTCACCTTGCGGAAGTTTGGCCCCTCCCAAGTTTGTTTTTGTCCCGGACAGATCTCCTCTCGTGCCAAGGTCTCCTTGAGCTCTTGCCAGTACTCCTTCCGCACCTCTTCATCCCCTCGTGCCACGTGGCTGACCCGCTGAATCCAACGGGTCAAACGGTCCGCTTGGAACGTTTTGGACCCATTGGTTGTGACAACGCGTGTGAGGAAAAACACATTGCCGCACACGATTGCACGTGCAATACACATGCAATGTAATTGACACTGATACTGCTGTCATATACCTTTCAACTCTGTCAGTGGATTTTGGTTGGAGAATGCTGGAGAGCCCGTGCCATTCGACACCCCTGACAGTGTGTCTCGCTGCCTACAGCTTGTTCCTCCCAGCGCTCCTTGAGCCTCGGCTGGATTGGACCAAAAGGCAATGGGCATCAACAAGGACCCCATCAACAAGGGCATCCAATATATATATATATACACTATATAAGTGTGTATATATATATATATACAATATCTGTTGTATATTGCATTATGCATAATATTGTGCACATGTTTAATATTATATATACATGTTTGTTGTACAGTACGCATACTAACTATAATTATATAATGTCATATTATATAATATAATAATACAATATTATATTAATGTTGTCTATTATATATGTAGTAAGTCCTGACAGCGTCCTTACAGCGGACTGGAGCTTCACAAAACGTGGAAACACACATCTAATTCGTGGACCAGTGTATTCCTGGAGGGTCAGGCTTGTGGAGCCGGCGGTGCTCCATCACTGGGCACTGGCCCACAGAACTTGGAATCCAGGGTGCCAGTCAGGCGCATAATTACATTGATTCAACTATTGATTCAATATGGATTCATACCCAAACATGGATTTCATATGCGATTGCCCAGGACCCCGCAAACAAAGTATGCCAGTTCCATGGAGCATCCGGGATGGCCACCTGCTTCCCCGCACCGAGGCGTTTGCCATGTTTGCCGTACTGCGACCCTGCCACCCCGCCGTCCGCGGCCCAAGGAGCCCATGCCGCTGGCGTCGGAAGAAGCTTCGCAGCGCGTCGTCGGTCAACGGGAGCTGCGTGTCGTCCGGCAGTTTCTGCGCCGAGAGAAGGACTCGGCAGGTGGTCGGCCGTCCCGGGTGTCCAACGCGCCAAGATTCAAGTCCCAAAGGACAAGGACGAAGCGACGAAGCCTCTAGGCATCTACGTGTGTTTTTACTTGAATTAGTTATAGTTAGTGTTTGAGGTTTCTTAGCATCTCTCACTGCTGATTGCTATACATTGACATTGACATGCTATATATTTTACGTGGAGGATTTCCAGAAATGCCAAAGCTACCAGCCCAAGCAGCCAAGTGAAACCTGTACTTAGATTTAGCAACTTCATCTACTGTAAACAGTTCAAAACTCCTATAGACTCTCTGTCCCCTCAACTCTCCCCATGATACGCCAAACTGACCCAGGTGCCCGGCTCCTGGCCAGACTTCAAGAGCTTCAGCTTTTGTGTAGCGATGCCTCTGAGTTCATCTGCCAAACTCCCACAGCTCGTGTGCTGCACCTCAAGCTGTGGCAAAAGGATCGCTTTTGTGGCGAAACGGCTGGGGTTTATGGCAGTCCGAACGCATGGGACCTCTTGCTTTTGTCTGGTCTGAAGCATCCCTTGTATCCTCTGCACTCGCAGTGATCGCATGGACCACTGCCAGGTCGGATGCGCGAGAATCCTCCCGTGATTTTTGTGCATGCCGAAAGCCAACGACAAGGGTCTGAGTCTTCGAAGGTCTTTGACATCGAAGAACAAAACAACTGGACCTTGTGAGGTCCCAAGTCGAATGATCCTGAACGATCCTTTCCTGAAGGACGAACCACCAAACACCATCAAACACTAATGTCTTGCAAACACGTGCAAGTTGAGCCCCTATCCAAGGTACAGGATGTTTGGGATTTCATGTTATCCTTCCTTCCCTAAGGGTCCTAAGGCTCTAAGGAGGCCTTCTTGCTCATAAGAACAGTAGAAAGCCCAGAAATCAAGATCAACCGACTCCTGCATTGCATACAAGAAATCGATCCCATTTTATATCCCATTACCAGCAACCGTGGGACCCCCTGCAAGTGAACGACCACACGCCCGTCAAAAAGGAGGTCCGAGCGGACAATCGTCCGACGCATCCCGAAAACGCAGCAGCTCCATGTTACTAGTAGTAAAGGCCAGGAGCTACTAGTAGCATCCTTGCTCCTAGTAGCGATGCCAGGAGCCCCTAGTAGCTTCTTGTTGCTGATTTGACCGGGCTCCCAACGGTGTCCCAGGCATTTCGCACATTCCTTGGCTGAAAATCTGGCTTGAGGGCTACGGTGTGTGTGTGGTGTGTTTGTTTCTCAAGTCTGTGTCTCAAAAGGGTTCCTTTCAAGCAATAGTTTGCACTGTTTGCACTAAAATTGTCTCCTTGGATTCGGCCTACGGGGATTGGCAGGGATTCGGCCCTTCTTCGAGGCTTCGATAAGCATTGTATCTGACTCCTTCCGTTTCCCTGGAAAATATAGGTTATATAACCTTTGTTCTACCTGTTCTCGTTTAGTGAGGAAACGTAGGAAACCACTCCCCCCAAAAAGTTAGTGTAAAGGAATTGGTTAAAAGTTATCCACTGACTGGGTATGGCATGAATCATATTGGGGCATACCTGGGGAATCTGTTGCTCTCTCGTGACAAAGTGGTGCTCAGGTCGCCCCACGTTCAGGGTTCATGGCGTGGAAAGGCTTCCACTTGGAGGAACACCGCACCAAAAGCCACGGCACCATGACTCCTTTGAGAACCAAAGGAGTCATCCATTCACCGATCTCTGTCATTTCAGCGGATCTTCGCATCTCTGAGATGTGTTGAGTAAGATTCAGTTGGAGATGGGCGATCCTCGTGCCAACTGCTTAGCTCGTGCCAACTCTCCGGCTTCCCACAGTTTGGACCAGTTGCACCACTTTGAGAGAACCAAACAAACCCAGTATTCTCCAGTATTCCGGTGCATTGTGTCAGCAAAATTTCTATGAATTTTCTCATAGCATGAGTGGGGAGTGATGAAGAGTCCTTGAACGTTGATCGCATGTGCTTCCACCTCTGAACACCGGCAAATCCTTGTGCCTAACGGTTGCCCGTCGTACAGTAATTGATGGCCAGTCCAATGCCAGCGACTCCAAATGACTGATGCTGAATGAGCCATGCCCATCACATATTCATTATAGATGGATAGCCGGGTCTACCGTTGACCCCGGCCCGGCCCGAGACCCGGCCCGGCCCGGCCCGTGCGAACTCCCTTCCCCGGCACAGCCGTCAGGAGGCCAGCTGACGCAGTGGGCAAAGGAAGAATCTATGCATCAAGATATATCCACAAACATGTTAGAGAAGGGATCGGCAAAGTGTGTTTAGTCTGTGCGAATAAACCCCTTTCTACTGTTGTCAGTCTACGGAGCTGTATTGGGGGGCACATCTTGATGCATAGATTCTTCCTTTGCCCACTGCGTCAGGTGGTCTCCTTACGCCACGCCGGCGCGGTGGTGTACCCGGTAACCAATTTGAGGTGTGGTTTGGTGGATTCCACAAAAGGGCCTATACAGAATGGAAGGACCGCAGTGGACCGGCCCGGACCGCCCGGACCGACCCGCAGTGGCCCGGCCCGCGGTGGCCCGGCCCACCCGGACCGGCCCGGACTATCCATGCCATACATCCATCCTATCATATCTCCCATGCTGAATGACCCATTTCCGAACCAACGAGACGGCTCGAAGCCCTCCGAAGCCGGGCGCATGGGTCGAAGGCAGGCGACCGGCGGACCACAGGGACCGACCTGCCGGCCACGACCGCCCGCTTTGGAAGGAACATCGACCCAAACCATGACCAAAACCGAGTGGAGAAAGTCTCCCACCCAGCTGGAAACTCGTAAAGGCGGATGATCGTCTTTGGAGTCATGACAAGTCTCAAGGGCTTTTGCTCATTCATCGCCTCCACCAGCTGTTTCAACAAGGCCTGAGTTGGAACAAATTGACGTGACCTCACTCTATATATAAACACGACCTCAGCTTGTTTTTTCCACGCGTTGCAGAAAGTTTGTC